CCTCCCTCCCTACCTACCTACCTCCCTCCCTCCCTCCCTCCCTCCCTCCCTCCCTACCTACCTACCTACCTGGCTACCGACCGACCGACCGACCGACGGACCGACCGACCGACCGACCGACCGACCTACCTACCTACCTACCTACCTACCTACCTTCCTACCTACCTACCTACCTACCCACCAACCGACCTACCTACCCACCTACCTACCTACCTACCTACCTACCCACCTACCTCCCTCCTACCTACCTACCTACCTACCTACCTACCTACCTACCTACCTACCTACCTACCTACCTACCTACCTACCTACCTACTTCTTCTTCTTCTACCACGACTAGCAGCTTGACTAGCATTGCTTGACAACCACATCAACAACTACTACCACTTGTTGTTGTTCGCAGGGGGGGAGGGGGAAAAAAAATAAAGATAAGTGCCTGACGACTACTTTCTCGCGTGCTTCCTGTGCGATCTGAACAACCAGTGTCAGCCTGTGCCCATGGCTCGCTCCTTGAATGGGAGGAGTGTCGCCATGAGTTCGGAAGTGGAAATGCCTCGGAACAGGGAGTGCGACCTCATTCGGCCAATTCTTCTTGGTCCCTTGTTCTAGGAACTGCTCCTTGGTTTGATCCTGTTGACGTAGTTCTTTGTTAAAGCTTGCTCCTGGGCATCTGCTGCAAGACAAGTGGCTGGGCACGTCATACAGGAGGCCTGCCTCATCGTAAACATTGAACCGAAGAGCCTGAATGAACTGCAAAGTTTTCAAAAGCGAAAGGCCAAGTCATGGTGTCACCTCTGGCATACCGCATGTCCGCAGCATTCCCTGGTTATTACAAGGCATGCTGCGCACATCAATCTCGGACGTCCGACTACTGCAGCATGCCTGCCGGATCGGTCCAAAATCCATGACATTGACAAGGCCGTCGACAAGCCAGAACAGAACCTGCAGCATCGACAAGGCTGGCATCTCACTAGGTTTATCCCATCTTCTCCGCAGGCCCTACCGCAACATCAAATCTGTACTGAGTACTGGTAAATGTCTCTTGCTGCACCACCTTCGGGTAGACATCGTGGCGGAAGAGCCGGCCACCTACCAAAGATTGAAAGTTCATACCGCAATCTACCATGGCATCTGCCGGAATGCTCGGAATGGGTGCAGGCAAGCCAGCACCGCTGATCACCCCTGCACCGCGAAAAGCTCAACGATGCAACTGTACGCTGCGACCAACCCTGAGCTTCCGCCGGCCTTTGATGCTTTTTGCAGATAGACCCGAGGTAGAAGAAGACCTCTCGTCACAAGATGCTGAGGCAAAGGTGAGAGACGCCCAGTTGCTGACTCGTCAACCCTCCACTCCCCCGGGCCCCGGCCTTCCTGTCAAACCTGGCGGAGGCAGGTGAGGCTGAGGAGGCTGACGAGCTTGGAGCATGGCCACGAAACAAAGCCTGGACCAGGGCCACCAAGTCACTAAGCACCAATAGGCTCGCCTTATCTTATCATACCTTATCCTTATCGCGATCTGCAGATCACGAAACCTGGCTCGCGAACCACCCCAAAGTCGAAGGATGCTGTAGAGCTCTTCCAGCCTGGAGGGGTTGGACACAATCATGTCTGGCGGAAGCAGGACTTGGGACGACTGCTGATGCAGGCAAGAATCTTCAGCAATTCAGTGGGCGAGTCACCGACGTAGCGCACGAACTGCAAGGGACGGGAACCGCGCACATCGCGGCTGTGGCGGCAGAGGACCCTGCCAAAATTGCTTCAACGAAACCCGCCGTCCGACACCCCACGCCACGGCACGCAGCTAGAAGTGGGAACGCTGCATGGACAACAGGACAGCTGCTCCTGAACCTTCGAATCCGTCGATCCAGCTTGGCTTGGTCCGACTGCGGATGATGGTGAGGAAACCTGTAGTGCAACAGCAGGTCGGCAAACACATCCAGGGCCAATGAGTCTAGTCTAGATTGTCAGCTTGCGCGGGCCCCTGCAGACAAAAGATGCTGAGGAGCTCTCGGTGCCGGTACCCTGCCAGCTAAAGTGGTACATGCCTGATTGCATCAAGATGCGTATGCATCCATGACCGGTAGTTGTGAAAGATGATCTTGGGAAGTCCTGGCTTCACTGCCGGTGCGCTCTCCTGCCTGCTGGTGGATTGCCATCCCAGTCTGCAGCCATTTCCCCCGCACTCCCCAACGACAATCTGAAAATATCTGAAACAACCAGCTGCTTCCTGGCGGGTGGACATCGATCATGTCATTGTAATGGAAAAAGTTGGCGAAGTCGTGCCGGAGAAAATGTATAACTGCATCCAGCGATGTCCTTGGCAGATCGCAGCAACAGACTCCACAGAAGAGACCTCGTGCATCTCCCACATGGTGCCTTTGCACTACAACTCGCGCAGCTGCACCCCATACAAACTCTGACCAAATGTGACAGGAGTTGCCTATGTGCTGGCTTCTCGTGGCATCGTAGCCTCCGCTGACTCTAGAGACTCTTTGGGAGCCCGGGAGCAGTAGAGAGTCGAACGGCAAGTACCTGGCAAGTTGGGAAACACTGAGGTCTGCAGCAAGACGTGGGCACAGGTTCACTGGGAAAGACATTCATACAGCTGTCGGCCAAGAGTCTCAGCACCGTGGAAGTAGGGATAGCCAACCTTGCAGCCAAGTGTTTGTGTGCAACAGCATCAAGAAACTAAAATGTCGGCTCCGAAATTTTGCCAATGTTGAGTTTCCGCGAACCTGCAGCCCTGTCGACGAATCCCAGCTATCTGTCAAAACGATAACACTTTACGACCATGCTCCGCATTGCCCAATAGTACTCCCAATAGTCAAAGTGAGGAAACCGTTCAAGAAAACGACGCTTCGGACGAGCCAAGCCGGAGTTGCAGGAGTGGGATGCCTGCTGCCACAGCCGATGCGAGTACCAATGAAGGGCGAATTAGGCATGTTTTCACAGAGCAGGTATATCCACAAAAAAGAACTGAACGAACCAAGGTTGGAATTGATAGCACGTCGTCTACAGGCGAGGACATGCCCAAGAGAGCCCATCGTGACTGGAGAACCAACTGACGCATCGTGCGATTATCGGGACAACCGAAGCCAACACTGATACAACGGATGGTAATCTGTGTTCATCCAAGGAGCCGGACAGTGCGCATCTCCAGAGCACTCGTCAATCCCCAGTTTGACACAGCATCGGTTCCTTGACCAGACTGCAGTCTTCTGAGCTCTCGCCAAAAGGCTTGGTGCCGAAAGTCAATACTGATGCTCAGCGCCAAGCAATGCTGCCATCAACTTGTCTAATCATGCATGCAACTACAAGTAGTTCACTCAAACTGATGGCCGAAGGTTCCCAAGACTCACAGGGTAGAGCCCACGGCCTCCGCAGCCGAGGTCATCAAGCGAGCAAAAAAAGCAACAGCAGAAGCTTCCACAGCGTTTAGGACCAGTACTGCGAAGTCGGTCCCCGAACGCTGAATCTCATTGTAAACTGAGAGCTGGTGTCAGGTGAAGTCGGTATTCCCTCAATGCCGCCAGATGCCGTCAGACAGTTCTCGCCTGATGGCCAACACGGGCAGTTGCTCAGTCCATCAGTTCCGCCACAAGCCTGGCAGGATAGCTGCGTCACACAGTCTCCAGGTGCGGTGAGGAGCTATCGCTTCTCACTTGCCCCCTTCCAATATGACTTCACCCCTTGAGTGACTCCCAGAACATCCCAGTGACTAGTCGAGCCTGTCACTCCATTGGAAGAAGTCACCCCGTATTTGCACTGCCAGCTCTGTCAATCCGACTCGCTCCGCTGCAGCTGCACTCAAGTAGTTTGACATGCTTTGACCACCCATGACCACCCGACTGGCATTGCTAAACCTCTGCCAAGGCAATCTCGGAGGAATGCATGGCCATCACCTTCAAGGACGCAGAGTCAGACAGCTAGACTGTGGCCTCACGGCAGACATCTGCAGCGGATTTCGGCCTGTCTCGACGCCAGCACCAGGACCTGCCGACATGGCTTGAAGCTTTACGCCTGTGGGGCCCTGGCCGTCTCAGAGCCTCCCAGAACTGGCCGTTGAAATCCCACCACAGGGTCTGCGCCCGCTGGCCATTCAAGCCTCGACTATTGGCTAGCGGCGCTAGCGGCTCTCGACTCTGCACCCAGAATCTCCAGCATCCAAGGAGCCACTGCTTTTGCTTTGCCCAAAAATTATGACCTGCCAGCGCATGGACGAGAACTATGCACCGACAGTATAGCGCAGCAGCAGGCAATCCTGCTGCTCGCCTGCCTGCGCACCCACATCTATTTGACAGTCGCAGCCCTCTGCCCCTGGCGTGCAGCAGCAGCCCAACTCGTCCAAGGCGGCGTGAGCCTTCCAGGCTGAAAATTGGGCCGGGCAACCTTCGGGATGCAACCTCGCCAAGACATAGACTTCCGTGAGGAGGGGTTCCGCATGGTGGGACGTTGTCCGGTCTGTTGTTCCAGGGCCGCTCTGAGACTGCGGGATGTGTCCGTCTTTCATGCAGATGCACACAAGTCTTACGAGCCTGGTCCATGAGCTCCCACCGCGATGACAAGTGAATTCTGTCGCCCTCACCAGCCTTGCTTTTGCGCGGGATGCCTCTTAGCTAGAACGAAGCATGCTGGCCACTTGCAAGGTACTCTTTGGAAGCACCTCTCATGAACAAACGTGCAACTGAGTCGTCGCCATCCCCCACCTTTGCACAGCCAAGTCTCACATGCCGGACATGTCGGCACGCTTTCACGGCGCAGCTCCATGAGTAGACCTTGCAGCAGAACATATCGCCAAACTTGCGCGGAACCAGCATTCACGGCGAATTTACAGAACTACGGAGCATGCTTGGCAGCCGAAACACCACAGAAAATCTAATGGCATGTCGTGCTTTCACAACCGAACTCATGGCTTGGCCGTGGGGCAACTTCGACAAAGCCGATGCGAGCCAGGGCAAGACAGCTGCAGGCCGTCGCCAGCCGCAAAATGGCAACCTCATCCATGCAGGATGTTCAACACACCTGAATTGGCTGGGAACGAAAAACTGGACTCACGGCAACATGTGGTGGGCACTAAAACTCGTTGATGTTTGCACATGTCACCATAAGGTCAGGAATGTAAACATGTCCGAAACTTGGGCGGCAGAAAGCCACCAATCCGAGCGGCAATCGCAAGACACCTCGCGAGAAGCCAGGTGGCTTGCTGCATGTGCATCCACACCTGGCGCTTGGCTTTTGCCACTTGGTCCATGCAGGCCCGTATGATCAAAGCTTGCCAAAGCCTTGACATGCCTTGGACCCTCAAAATTCCCGTCATGTCGCCTGCAAGGTCTCCAGTCTGTGCAGCGAGGGCCTCAAGCTCGTTTCAACGCACAAAAAACTCCGCGAACCGCTCGGCAAGTTCAGCAATGGCCAAAATGACTGACTGTCATGACAATTTCTGCAGACATGGGGACTGTTGGCCTGCCTCACTACGTGGTCAGATTACATCTGCGGCGGTGTCACTCGACTGCACTTGCTGCCTACATTCGGTGTCAGATCATTGCCAGATGCAGGAGTCGTGGGCAGCAGTCGAATGCAGAATCTGAATCCCTTCTGCGATCGACTCTGCCGCTGAAATTCTTGGAATCACGTGTGTAAGCCATCACCTCTACATTGTGGCAGTCGGATGCATCACTAGGGCCTTGCTGCTGCTAGGCGCCGGCACCGCTGCTGGCGCCCGTGCACTCAAAAAGCTTCAACAGCCAAGCTGGAACTCCCCGCACATGCTGTTTGTATAACTGGCAAATGCAACTGAAGCTGCAATTCAAATCAGGTGGTACAACAGTTCGTTGGACAATCTCAGGAGCTCCCGTCACCTAGACTGAAAATTTCTTCCCTCAAAATCACGGCCGAATAGATCGACAGTCAAACAAACATGCAACATCTGCTGTTTGTACGGTTTTAAGCCTCTGCCTCTTGTTGCCAAGCTCAGCCAGGCACCGTGCTCTCGGGGCGCAGCTTCTGCGCCACCTCCCTGTCTTCTGCGCAAACGGTGATGCACCAGCGGCCGCAAGGAAGCGTCACCTAGCGACCAACAAAACGATGTGCAGCTGGTTAACAGACATGCGAAGTTGTTCTGGCAAAGCTCTGCCTCTATATAGATTGGTTACACTACACGGCAAGCCATCCACAGGCACACTGTTTTTCAAATTCGGCTCCACACGTAGCTACCCTCACAACAAGCTGACAGATTCTTCAGCATTGTGCGAGTTGCTGAAACAAGGCCAGCATCAGGGCCGCACTCTGTTTGACCCCTCCCTATGCTAACGTATAGACGAGTCTTCCGACAGAAACACAGCAGACACAGCTGAACAGCACTCGTGTCACAAAGGCTAAAGTATGTTTTGCACACGTTGGAGAATGTTGTCCGATACCTTCCATTCCGGACTGGAGAAAGACACGGCAGGAGGTGTCGAATCAAGGTGAGACAGGGCTCATTAATTTTGATGCACAAGCCACAGGGTTGGAAGCTTCCCGACGCTGTGGAAAGACTCTTCCAGGCAAGTGGCTTGGTCTGCATTGCTTCGCAAGGCACAGTAGGTTACATATTTCGTCGGACATAAAATTCGTGCGACTCCTTTTCAAGGATTCGCATGGAGGCCGCATCAGAATCTATGGGACAGCTGTGGCCCCAAGTCGGTCTCCCGGGAAGCCCTCAGTTCGGCACAACTTGCACAAGCAGATACCATGCTTGAGCTTAGGAATTGCTGCCCAAGCACGAACGCCTCACATTCTTCGCAGACTTGTCATCGTCTCCGAGGGCTGTGGCGGCGGCAGCCGCTGCCATGCGCGAGGCAAAGCCATGGCTCTCGCGTGAAAGACCAGCGGCACTGAAGAGCGTCTGCAAGGAATACGTGGAGGAGCGGTGGGACCGTCCAGCGGCGGCTGAGGACGAGTTGGCAAGCAGCTGTGCCAGCAGCAGTTCCAGCTTGGTCTCCAACCGATGCAAGTCGATGGCCTTGGCAGGGCCTGGCAGCTGGGTCAATACTACCACCTGTTTCGCTCAACCGTGTGGCCCAAGTCTTGTGAACGGTCCATCCTGACTTCAACAATGTCATATTCTGCGTAGAATGTTCTACAGACGGTTGCGAACAAACCTGAAACTTGTTCAAGCAGGGCATGCGATGCATGTCGATCTTTCTCAGGTAGCCAGGCCTTTCAGCTTCTGGGCATTCTCGATGAACTCCTGGATCCAGGACAATCCGAGCAAAACCGCACTCAACCACCTCACCTAAATGCCAGCAGCACAGCCTTCATCGAGATCTCTCCATCTCCATCGTCCAACATCTCAAAAAGGCCCAGCAAATCGTGGTAGTCCAGCTCCTTGACACCAAAGGCGACACAAGGCAGGGAAACCTACCAGTTGCAGTCCAAACGAGTTCGGTCGGGTCTACCAAGAACGAGTTCGGTCGCCTCTGCTACGAACATGGTGAGTTAGTGTTGAGAAAGCAGACTCGATGTCGATTGGTAAACCTCGCAGCACATCCAATCAATAATAATACAGAAAAGCCCCCCTCCAATCAAATTCTCAGGAGAGGCCTGCCTCAAACACAGAAGACGTTGCACCTTGCACTGGACAATTGCGTCGGTTGCTCGCCGTTTCGGGGGCCGACGTTGCGCGTTTGGTTTCCCACCGACAACATCAAAAAACAGGACGTGTTAGACTAGTATGGACGTTTAGAACCCAGCGCCCCTCAAGCAGCTGTCCTACGGACAAGAAAACCGCGGCAAAGGCAAAGCCGGAGCTCTGCACAGCTTGCTGTCCAAGAATCCAGCTGGCTCATCCAAAACCGAAGCTTGGGTGATTCGATGAGCTGAGCAAACTCATCAAGAGTCACCTGATGGTTCAAAAACACACACCAAAGAACTGCACACTGCAGAAGCCAATCACATCGATCATAAAACAATTGCTCTTCAGCGACAACTTGCCGAGCATGCTCGCTATGAACCATCGAACTGAAGCAAATAAAACTTGGGCTGGAGGCCATCCCATCCTCCGAGGTATCCATTGCGCTGAAAAGGCGCTGCACCTGCTCTCTTCTGAACAATAACTCCCGTTTCCTGAGTGAGTTTGGCCTTGCTTAACTCCCGGAGCAACTGAACAGGCCATGTAACCCATTACGCAAGCATGTTTAGGTAGATTCTGTAACACTTTATTTTGTGGTCACAAGCAAGCATGCCACTGCCACGCCTTCTTCGTGTACAAGGCCCAGTCCTTTTGCTTCTGCTTGAAAGCCAAGTCTTCGTCATTCGCTGCCATCAGCAAAGTCTGCTGCACGAACACTGCATTTACGACCTTTGCAGCAGAACGGGCACGTCCGAAGCAGCTCTGGCCACAAAGCAAACGTATGCACGAAAAATTAGTTGCACCAAGGCTCATTCAAGACCGCATATCCGATCATGCACCGGTAGACAAGAAAGAACAACGAGAAGGCCTCGTCAACGTAGTCCACAAGGACGCGACATGGTGGTCCCCAATTGGCAAATAATATCTCAAACATGGTCAAAAAAGTTCTTGTAAAAGTGCCGTAGTAATCCCAGACTTGTTGCCGGATCTGAAGGGGCTTGGTATCATCATTGAGGTACTCTCTGACTAAAGCGCTCAATATCATTCCAGAAATGCACTGGATGAAAGTGAGCAGGCAAAATGACCAAAAGAGCATGTCAACCGACGAGGCGCAGCACTTCAGCAAAAGCTGTAACGAGTCCAATGATCGAGACATAGTAACCATCCGAAAAGCTCTGGCAAGCTTCCCCAGACGAATAAGTCTCAGATAAACTGCATCAATGGCCAGGCTGGGCATAAACCATTGGACACTGGATGTTGCCACGACGATCGCATCAATCCAGTTCATCACGGCTCGCCAGAAGCGACATCGTAGCACCACAATGCGGACAGTGACATCCACAGCGAAAATTACTGTGAAAACGAAATCCCCCACTGTGATGACCCGGTTGATAGTCGGCCACGACGACTGCGAAGGCACTGGCTCGTCGTACTTGTCTATCTCCCAACCGGAGACCATTCCTGTAGTGGACGCGGTCACTAGATGCAATCTGTTCTACAGATGCCGTGTTCAGCAAACGTCGGGGACGAGGTGAAGACAAGATTTCCGCGTGTACGTGGCAGCATGCACCTCTAAGTCAATGCGAGGACCATGAACTGTCTTTCGATATGAGCTCCCAGATTTGCTTGAACTGTGCCGAGACTTCGACATGCACAGGACCGGTGTTTCGGGTGTTTCAAGAAGGTGTTCGATCTGTACACAATAAGTTTGAGGCCAGGCCACTCAACTCCAAGAAATCATAACGACACATTTTATCTTGAACCCAGGCTTTTCATGTCAGCAGGCTTCGAACCCAACGAGAACAAATTTCGGTCCACAAACCATATTCAAACAGCTGACTGGACATGACAGGGAATGACATAATGATGTGAAGGAGTGTACCTAGCCTTACCCAGCGGAGATGGCAGATTCTGGGGTTTCTGGGAGACAGCCAGCAGCGGATGCGCACGCTCGGCGGAATCGTCGGCACCGGAGTGGAGGCGCTCGCCCTCTATGCCTCGCTAGCCAGCAATGTTGGGCCATCGCGGAAAGGTCAACGCGCTGTCCGTCAGTTGGCAGTATCCACTTGGCCCAGTGATGCGAGGGGAATACACGACTTCACATTGCACGAAGAGGGCGGGGCGACGGGAGTGACACGTGGCCCGGCACGGGCCAATGGTCGGATCAATCGCTTCGTTCTTGTGCGTCTGTGCCGACATCTTGTACTTGACTAACAACACATCTTAGCATCAGATGAAAGAAAAGCAACGCATGGCTCACCTGCCCTCAACCTGAAACCTTGCAGCCTCAGTCTCTGACAGGTCTTACGCATGCATGGGCTGAATTGAAGATGTTCCCGTGATCTGTCCACATTACCCTGCTGTCGCTTTCACCGTTGCTGCTCCTAGCAGTAGTACGAAAATTTCGATGCTGACGATGATGATGACAATGAACACGGGCACTACCAGCCCTAATCTTCTTGCGGTCTTGCTCGGGTGTCATGTGGCAGCAACAACGTTCTTCCACACTATTTTCCATGCTTAGCCTGGCGCTATCAGTTGATTCCTTGGCTGCTGAATCGGCTACCGCAGCTGGGTACAAACTTCAAGTGCAACCGTCGAAGCAGGAACTCTTCTCGGGTCTGCTATCCCCAGCTCTCGTTCGTCCATTTCAAGGGATCAGCCCTTCCAGCTTACACGAAGGATGCCCCGGCGAGAATTTCGGCGACTGCTTCTCTGAACCAGCCGAGGCATGCTAGCTTTCCCTCCAAACTATGTCAGTCTGCATGCCAAACCGTCCAATAGGAGCCCCAGGACTGCTGTGATATGCAAGTTTTAAGGATGGCTCCACCAAGTGGAGGAGTTCAGTCATGCTGACCGATGTGCGGCGCAATTGCCCGTGCAATCAATTTAACTTCAACAGCATTGAAGCTCGACCTGTTCGGGAAACCGCAAGGAGGAGTGAATTTGCAACTCTCCACCCCCATTTTCCCGACCCGCTCTGCCCAAGCTATGTGAATTTGTTTAGACGAATAGAACAACCGGGAGCAAATATCAGGGAGGCAAGCCCTTCAAAGTCAGGAAATTGAGTCCCTGTGGCCAAGGAATTGCATCTCCAGGGCCATGAAAAAGACGTTTGCAACCAGCAGTGCTGACAGCGCAGATTCAAAGACTGCAGACTGCAAGAAGTCCGCACAGCGCTCGAGAGCAGAGACCTGCAGGCACTCTGGAGGCTCTTTCCATCTCTGCCTCGCACTCTCCGACTGCTCTCCGGCCTGCTCGATGCCTTCTCGACTTCGATCCCTGGCATCAACCGTGCGCAAGCCGGACTCACCAGTAGCTCACAGCCCGCCTCATGCTGTGGGGACTGTTGGGGTCAAAGCGCCGCGCCGAGGGCTGCGGCATAACCGAGAGCCGAGGCATCCTGGCCAGATCCATGGATCCCACAAATGCTCCGTCCCTCCCGGCACGGATCCCGGCACGGATCCGCGGACCTGTTTGTGTCTTTGCTTGGTTCACGAGCGACTCGTGGCAATGGAACTTCAGGTGGCGAGCTGCCTATCGATGCTGATCCTGGGCAGTAAGAAGACGTACGCCACACTCATCCACATCTGCAACTAGTGGTAACCACAGCAACAGCAGTTACCAGGATCGTCCATGGCTCTGGACAAATTCAAGCTTGGCGGCTCCTGGACGTGTTTGGGATGTCAAATGCTGCCATGCCGAAGCTGTTCAATGAAGGCAGCGGCAACTGCCTGAACCTATGCCCCGTCAGGAGTCCTTGGGTGCATCCAGGCCTGGATTCACAAGCTCCGACCGGAGAGATGCCATGTCCTGCACCTCAGTCAGGTGATGCCCAGCTCGGGCGAGGAATAGGCAAACTTGCAAAACTTGCAGTGGTCAACTGCGAGGCACATGCTGCGCAGCCAGAAGCTGCAACAGGCGCTTGAACTCCAGCGAGCATTCGGAGCTCACATCGCTCGAAGCTTTCGCAGCAGAGATCCTTGTGGAATCCGTTGACAAGGCACTTTGCACGTGCTGTGGAACACCAATCTGGCACAGTAGGTGTTGAGAAAGGAAGTTCGACTGGGCCCACTGCTTTGTCTGAGACTCTGCTGGCAAAGCCGAGGCTTGCTGGGCCTTCACAGCATGTCAAAACGTGGGCAACCCATGCCATTGGGCAACCCATGCCATGTGCCAAGTCCAAACACTCGACCTGCTCCACCGAGTCGGCCGCAGTCGCATCTGCGAATTGCTTTCCGAGCTCATGCGCTGGCATGGCATATCAATAGGCTCAGAGGCTTCTTGAACAACTCTGCGGGGCCATTCGCAAGTCGGAAAAGCACTCAAGACAATGTACTCACCGACACAATTGGGAAAGTTACCTGCCACAGGCTCCTGGTGTCGAACGAACTGCACATCGACTCAAGGCCTGCCTTCGTCACTTCCTGTCGGAATTCGGTAGTTCGGAATATTGCCTCAGAAAGCTTGTCGAAGGACGGGGCCACCCAACATCCCATAAGACTTGCATCAGTGCCGCCGGCCCCCTGTTAAACCCCAGCCTCTGCAGGGGTTCTTCAAACTGTGACGAGTTGCCCAACTGCCTCCCCCTCCTGGAACTTCCAGCATGTCACCTCTCGTGAAGACGCAAGTTCACAAGTCATTGACAGCTTGGACTGGGCCACACATCACATGAGCAGCAAAGAAAGATGCATTGGAAGGAGGATAAAGCACAGCACATGAAGACGGTGCCCACACACTTTGGCACGGCACGAATGACTGCGACGAGCTACTGGCACGACAAGACGACGACAGATTGCGGCAACCATACAGACTGACATAGAAGCTTCACACCAGGGTTGGTTACTGCATTGCCACAGGGGGCCCACTGGCTAGTCCGAAAGCAGGTACTACGTCTGGCTGATCAGGCCAGATATCACCACGCACTGACAGCATCTTCGTGGGGCAGTGACTGTCAGGCACGCACTGCCCCCTGCAGCAACATGGTTCTCTCACTCAAAGGTCGCCATGTCCAGGCGTGTGTACACACACACACATGCCCTGAAAACAAGGCTGCAGCAAAACGGCGGTGCGATCCAACAAGGCAGTATGTGCAATTCGGTCGTCATGTGCAGACATGTGCAGACCCACATGCCATGTAGCAGAGTTGCAGCAGATTTGTGACCTTTTGACAGAGAGGCCCGTAAGGGGACAAAAATGCTTCTGGGAAGTCATCGACTGGCACTCTTCGATCATGCGGGCTGTAGGTCAAGGCGCAGCAGCAACGTTGATTTGGCTGTTTTCCTGCTACATGGAGCGACTAAGCTTGCGCTTCAAGGGTGATCTCGGGCTGCCCTCACTATCTGCAGTGAGAGGTCTGTTTTCACGAGCTTTGGTTCTGATCCATGAGCATGTCACTTCGAACCACTGTCACCACCATGTGATGCTGCCATCGGAGTTTTCTGTGGAGCACCATGTCCAGCGCCAGCAGGCTGGCCGAGGCGGCGCTGTACTGCTGCGGTCTCTCTCTGCCATTTTGTAAAAGATGGTGAAAGCAAGGAAACGGCTGCGGATGAATGTAGTGCAAAGGAGACATGGCAATGCAGTGACAGCTGCAGTGGCACACTTTGTCCTGCGTGTCACTGAGTTAAAGGCTTCACTCGAGGACAGGTGCTTTGACAGGACGAGCCTTCTGAATTGAAGGAGTTCAATGTCGATGTAGATCCTTTCGATCAGAGGTGGTTTGTGCCAGTCGAACGTCTTGTTGACTCGGCCGCTTAATTTTGCAGCATGCATCAGAGGTGTTGACGCTGATCTTCCGCTGCGCAAGGGCCAACATCGGTTTGACCCAAATCTTGGCGATGCTGCCCAAACGAGCGTAGTTGCAAGGTCGTGATGGTGACAATGCAAAATCACCGTCCATGAGTACCTAGCTTCGATGGTCCGGAGTTGGGGAACAAAACCCATCCTGTTGCTCTATTCTTCAAGAGCTTGTTCGGTTAGCTGTGTGGCAATCTCCTTATCAGAGGGCAGAAGTCAGATGGCCGATGTCCAATCGGTCACATCCACGTGAAGCTGGAGGCGGGTGAGATAGCTGCCCACCTGTTTCCATAACATCATGACGCAAAGCTTGCGCCTGTTCAAGTTCGACTCACACACTCGCTCAAGCAGGCATGCCAGGTAACGTCCCAGCTTGCTATCTGTTCAATTTAATGAACAGCAAATTGCTACGGCCAACATCGGCTTGACCCATGTTGTGGCTATGCTGACCAGCCTGGCTGTGACCACAAGGTCATGACTGCACAACGGTCCGGGAGTACTTTGCATGGATCACACGAAGCTGGGGTTGGAAGCCCAGCACGTGACAACACTCCCTGAGCTTGGCAGCAGTAATCTGCCCTGTGATGTCCGGATCGAAGTGTTCCCAGGCGACTGCCGGCGGCCTGAGGGTGTCCAATCGGCGACACCCAAGTGAAGCTCAAGGCGGGTGAGAAAGCTGCCTACCCTTTCCTTTGCACGACGTCCTGGGGCAAAGTTTGCATCTGTCTACCTAGAAGTAAATCAGCACTAAAGGGGCAAGAACAAGGTAACGCCACGCGAAACGACCCGCGCGATAGCACGAGCGTTTTAAGGCAAAATTCAGTTTTACCGTGGTAAAACGCTGATTTCTGGATTATCAGTTCTTGTTCTGGAGAGACATCCTCGCGCAACCTCGAATGTTTTCGGGGCTTGCTTTCGTCTTTGTTTTATCTCTGAAACGAGTATTTTTGGTGGTTTTACCACGGCAAAAACATGATTTTGCGCTTGATGGCTTGATTGTCGGGCAACACGTCTATAAAGTTTTTCCGGAGAAAATGGCCTTTTCGGATTTCTGGGGAGGTGTGGGGTTTTGGGGCTTCGGTGTTGCCAAGCCTTGACGGGCGTTAAGGCAAAAATTGTAGTTTCACTGAGTAAAACGATGTTTTCTGCTCTATCAGTTATTGTTTTGGGAGACAGCCGTGCGCGGCCGCTACACGTGTCGACTCTTTCTTTCGTCATTGTGTCATGGTTGGAAGTCGTGTTTTTCGTGGTTTTTCCCATGCGAAAGCAATGTCAGGGGATGTCGGGTTGAAGCTTTGAACTTGAAGGCTTTGGGGCTTGCGCTGCTTCGGTAGGACACGGGATGCTGGTTTTAAGCTTCTAGCTGGAGGGTTTTTGGTTTGCTTGCTGGGGTTTTTGTTTGGACTTGAACTATTTAGGCCTAGCCGCTATGAAACAGTACCAGCGGACGACTATAGGATTCTAGGATACTAACATAATATTAAATAAGCCCACTGAAGCCCCAACAGCTAGTAGCAAATACATGTTACGAAACTGGCGAGGTTCGTCAGAATCCTTTTAGTCCGAGCGAGCGGGCCATCCAAGGTCATGTCGATACTTTGCACACAGCGCTTTGGTTTTGGGATTTTGTCTTTGAAAAGGACATCGAGCATGTCCGTCAGTTCTGCTGGCGGGCCTTGCTCAAAGACTGCCCGTGGCAGCAAGTTAAAAGAGAGTAATGAATCCAACGATCGCACCCGACTCAAAAGCACATACCGCGCAAGCCAGGAAGAGCAAGCAGATAGCGTTCCAGGAAGGGTCCAGTGCGCCAGCAGACCAGGGTCGGTAGTTGTGCCTTGTGCAGTGTGTATGGTTTTGGGAAGCGCCGGGGCCAATGCAAACTGACAGCGATTCACTTGCAGCCCATCTTTGTTTTTTTCTTGTCTTGGCAAAAAATCCAGGTGGCTTGTGTCGGCAGCACTGCAATCACTACAGGGAAAAATCTGCACTGTCGACACCCCCGTGTAGGTCCGCAAATGCTATGTTCGCTGCAAGCTTGAGGCGGGGGGATTTCCTCGTCGAAGTCATCAATTTTGATATATATATATATTGCGAGTGGAAGTTCGGAGCATACAGAATGGCCGTGTTGCTCTGCTATTCGCCGAGCCGCAGGCGACCTGAGAGTTCAAGCATGCATGACGTTCAGGGCGCCACTCTCTATGTACTACCCGAAAAAGACCTGGAAGACAAGTGCTAGCTGTGCGGGGAGCGTTGACAGCCAATGCTTTCTGAACATTGACGGTTTTCCGGGCTCGGCTGGCGCAACTTTACAGGGTGAAAGCACAGAGTGCATACTGCACGCAGTGGCGCTGCATGAAGTAAGATTTGTGGAAGCCCACTCCGGCTCACAGTGGAAAGGTCAAGCAGGTGCAGGGTTTAGTGTTGCGGGTTTGCGGGGTTATTGAGGGTCTAGCAAGGTTTCGAACTCGTCATGTAAATTTACATGACGACTTTTATATGAATATAGACCCCACTGCAGATTCTGATGACACTTGCCATCCTCACTCAGAGCAGCCTTCTGGCTTTCACAGGCCACGTGTTCCTGGGCTTGGATTCTAAGGACCCTCGCGCGGGGGGAGGGTTTAAGGTGTAGGGTTCAGGATCAAGGGTTTGCCGTGGAATAGCGTGTAGGCGATGGTGTTTTGCGAGACGGCCGTGTGGAGTGCATCCTACTATGGCGGCGAGCTGCCAAAGCCTGCCTATGCCTTGTGAGTTTCGGTTTCAGGGCCTGGGGTTTGGGCTTTAGGGAATGGGGTTGGGCTCCTGCGGAATTTCGAAACCCCGAAACCCAGACTTCTTCGGATCCCTGAAGCGGTGGAACATTTTGGTTAAACCCTTAAACCCTGAATAAAGCTCTACACCCCTGTACCCAGTCCTTGAAGCACTGGAACATTTTCTTCTAGCAGCGCAAGACTGCCGCCCTTTAAAAGGCTCGCAGACCAAGCTTCCGCCCAATGGAATGATGCTTATTATCGCGGCTACCATAGAAAAATTCGGGTTCCTTCAAGGGCTACCATAAGGTCTTGAGGTTTCTCTAAGGGCTACCAGACGGGTTTGGGGTGTAAAGGGTACAGGGAGGGTTAAGGGATAAGGGTTATAGAGTCTGTTAGGGTATGTTACCATGGTTCGGGCATGGATGCCCTGGTAGTGGATGGAGTCGCAGTGGGCATTAACGTGGTTCGGGCAGATAATAATAATAATCGTAATGAGAATCATAATAACAATAATAAAAGTAAGAGCAAGAACAAGAGCAAGAATAAGAATAAGAATAAGAATAAGAATAAGAATAAGAATAAGAATAAGTATTATTAGTATAGAATAATGGTATTAATGATAATAGTAATGAAAATAATGATGATGATCATAATAATCGTGAGAAGAACAATAATAATAATGATGAGAATAAGAACAATAATATTA